AGCAGATAGAGTGGCATCAACGAACAACACTTACATCTCTTTCTAATGCTTTAGGTGTTAGTTATTCCAAATTGTATCGCCTTTTTAAGCGAGGTGTTCTACGTCGTCACTCAAGTGCCATCAAACCACATTTGAAAGAAGAAAATAAAACATCGCGACTAGAGTTTTGTTTATCGATGCTTGATGAAAGCACAACGCCGAACGAGCCAAAGTTTAAGGGAATGTATAACTATGTACATATAGACGAGAAATGGTTTTACTTGACAAAAAAAGAGCAAACCTATTACCTACTGAATGATGAAGAAGATCCTCACCGTACATGTCAAAGTAAAAATAACATTGCAAAAGTCATGTTTCTAGCAGCCACTGCTCGTCCCAGATTTGATGGTGAAGGGAGGGTGGTATTTTCGGGCAAAGTTGGATGTTGGGCGTTTGTGACAGAGCAACCAGCCCAGAGAAATAGCAAGAATAGACAAGCTGGCACGATGGAGATGAAGGCAATCACATCTGTTAAAAGAGAGAATGTGAAAATGTTTTTGATTGAAAAGGTTATCCCAGCTATTATGGAGAAATGGCCTAGCTCCGATTATGGTGAAACTATTTATGTCCAACAGGACAATGCTAGGACACACGTTCCTCCTAACGACCCTGATTTTGTAGCAGCAGCTTCACAAAATGGCTTCGACATTCGATTAACTTGCCAACCTCCTAATTCTCCAGATTTGAATATACTCGACCTTGGGTATTTTAGGGCCATACAGTCACTACAACAAAAAATGTGTGCAAAGAATATCCCTGAGCTTGTAAGTGCGGTAGAGAAGGCATTCTCTGACTATTCACCCATCAAGCTCAATTACGTGTGGTTGACGTTACAATTATGCATGAAAGAAATCATGAAATTAGGAGGAGGAAATCGATATAAAATCCCTCACATAAACAAAAAACGGCTTCAAAGACTAGGTCAGCTTCCTACACAAATTTCATGCGAGTCTACCTTAGTGCAAGCGACTAAAGATTTGTTAGCAACACGACTAGGTAAGTCAATGTTGACATTTGCTTCTCCTCTTCATATATTCACTATTATTGATAATGTTGTCATTTTGTTTCAGGGAACAGTTCGATTGAAGGTGGATCGGAAGAACTTTAGTCATGTTTGGAGAGTGCTTTATTGAGCGCTTAGTTAGCTTATGCCTATTCAAGTGACAATAAGTGGCATTTAGTTTCAGTTCCTGTGTTTTATGTTGAAGTTTCCAGCTTTTTTTTTTCTCTAAGTTTTGTGGTTTATGGTGAAGTTCACCAATTATGGGTTATGCTGAAGTTTCTAGATTTTGCATTTTTTTTTTATTATTATTATTTTGTGTTGTCACTTAAGCTAATGAATGGTGCTTGTGTTTCGTTTTTGGATCATTATCATGCGAATGCAAATGCTGTGTGAGCAGTGGCGAAACTAGAATCCGAATAAGGGATGCCCGATTTTTACCTTCAAACTATGCTCGAAATTAATTAAAAAGGATAGTCCAGATTTATACCTCCTCTCGAATAGACGAGAAACTGAAANTTCGCTTATTTTTAATATTTATACATCAACTTCAGGTTCCTCTAAACAAATGCTCGGAGCTCCGAAACACTCAATAAATGGCTCGAATAGCATCGTGCCAATAAGGTCTGCACGTCCCAACTCGTTTTTCAGCAAACCGAAATCTCACGCGACCTTGCGGGGCGGACGTAAACGGCTTTTTATTTAATTTTCTAATTTGTGCACTCCAACTCGAGCTTCTCAAAATATATGGTCGGGACCTCGAATTGCAAAATAAACACCACGAACGGCTTCTACTCTTCTCGTACTTTCTAGAAAGCACTCCCATTAAATTTCGGTAGGCCTAACGAGGGCCGACGGGTTCTCGAAGTTGGGACATGAAAATGATGCTTAAATGACCGGAACCAAAAATAAAATGGAAATATAATTCAATCAGGAACCAAAAATGAATCAACTTTAGCTATTCAATAGAAATAAAACCAAATTGCGTTATAAATTGTTATCACAATCACAGATTTCACCAATCTACATAGCATACTTCGAAAACTGAAAGCACATTGAACTGACTAAAACCAAAACGAGAAAAATTGTAATCCTTAATACTGAGGAGTCAAATTGATCACTACTCATCAAAAAACACCAAATGAACTGTAATCCACTTTAAATAGCACAGAAAACAGAAGAACAAATTGGACAGATTAACCAAAAGATGTTCTGCTCCTTACTTCTCAAGTAATATCCAAACAAATAACATAAGATTGTATTAGAACAGAATGACTTGACTAACATTTGAAATTGCAAATTCATCCATGAGGTATGATTGGATATGCAATTTCCAATGGTTTACGAATACAATGTCTGTTTTTAGAGGTGCAATTTTATAAATATAAACAAAAGTAGAATTAGTGGCCTATTTGTGAATGTAAAGGGTGGAAATTGGAAAGCAACAATTAACATCATCTAAAAGCCACTCAAAGTATCGCAACAAAGTGATTCCCTTAGATTGAGCAATACAATGAGCTTAAACATTTAAAAAATATCTCATTGAAGATCATTCACATCAAATGATGATAAGAACATAGATCACAATTCACCACTGGAAACATAAAACCAAACCACTTCTCAATCAATACAAGATGGCTCAATAAAATAGTCTGTAAAACGAATTATGACCGTACCCTTCGTAATATTCTTAACTTGTTAATCTACTTTTCAGTAAACAACTGTGGCACAAAAATCTTTAGCATCTCGTGCACAACTTGATCATTCGGGTTAGATATTGCTTCCCCAACAACAAGCTTCTCATCAACCTTTGTTGCACTTTTAAATTTTGAAAAACTAGTTCCAACTGCATTAACCTTAGTTTGAACTTCTGTTTGCGCCGTCACTAAGTCAATAACCACATAAAACAAAAAAAAATCTATCATCAATAGAATAAAAACGTTAAGACTTTGAAAATAATTCAAAAAGACAACATACCAAGGAAGAGAAATAAACAAAGCAAAATAATCGAAAAAAACACAAGCATATTCCATTATGGTTCCTCGTCACTTTTGGAAATTGGATGTTGGGTGGGATATATGCATCCTTACAAGGCGATAGAGTTTCTATTTCATTTGTTTATTCTGTGAAAAGTTACACTACTCTCTCTATGAAACATATTTCAGTTACTCAATCCTTTGGCCTACAAAAGATGTTCAGAAAGGTGATGAGTGCACTTGGGATTACCTATTCAGTATTGGGGATGATAGACAACGTTCTGATAAGCTTACTGACTGGCTTCATACCGCTCAAAAATACTTTATTAAAGTATGTTGTCCTGATTGGAGTTTTCTAATTCTGGACCTCTGGTAAATCTATGCTTAGTTCTTATAATTGGGGTTTTCTTGTTTTTTCAAGAGTATGAAAAATACAGCATCAACTGGAGACGGAGAAAACATCGCATAAGAGGTGATATGCTGCTTAATTAAACAAGCTAGGATTAGCATCTTTTTCCAAAACCAAATAAATCAATTGAAATAAGTAAAATTGAGAAAGAACAGATGAACCTCTTGTAGAATATTGATCGTCTTCAACGTCCGAATCGGACACATACACCTTAAGAAACTCCGCCAAATCACTAATTTGCAAAGCGAATGAATGAGCATCATCTAAACTTGCCTTTGTCTTCTCCAACAGTTGAAGAACTTCATCCATAAGAGGCTGGTGAGATTGAACATATTTAGCAAAGTGGGTTTTCGGATATAATTTTGAAGCTTCATGACCTTTCGAATCCATCAATTGAAAGAGAAAATAATAAAGGGGAGAACAATGGAATAAGAATCAGCAGGACTAGAAAAAATTGGATTCAAAAAGGCACACACAGATTGCGAAGATGGATTTGAGAAGAATATAAAGAAATAAAGTGAGTTAAAAAAAATACGGATTGCCATGGGAAAGAGATGGAGTTTTGGGGAAAGGTGAAGCCTGAATACGAAGAGGCATAATGTAGTAGTTGGATGGGGTAAAACTGGA